GTTGTTTTCCAACGTGAACGATATCGACACCGCTTCGAGTTTACATCATTCACATTGATCCATAGAGGAGACGAAACACACTGGTGAAAGATTGCTGGTACGATTGCACGGGAAGTACTCATTTTTTTACAAACATAAGCATAATTATGTACAACACAGCAGAAAAATTCGACTGTTCACTAATCAACTGTCTAACAGAATATGTTTGGGCAACGATTTGTCGTTGAGGATGAAAATAATACCCGTTTGTGTTTCTTTACAAATGCACTGTGTTTGTCATGAAATGTTTGTTCCGACAAATCACTTAATCATGATATCATACATTGTTTACCTGAGTATGAGGAGAATGTAACTCTGATGAGGTCGATGAAGGTCGGTGAGGATGGTGGGTTCTGGTGGTGATACTTATTTTCTCAAGCTGTTTGCCCGGTGATTTGACGTCCGACGGAAGTGGTAGATGCCAGGCAATATCCGGGAAGAACAGATTCACGCTTTCCGTGAGAACACAACTGACAGAGAGTTTCACGAAAAACGCGTTTGATGTCGCGTAAGGAGAACGCGTAAATAAACGGGTTGATGCTGGAGTTCACGAATCCCAGCCAGGTGACCAACGGGAATATGATATAATCATGTTCCTTAATCAGTGATGGACTGATGCTTTTGATTGTATTGTAAATGAAGAATGGTAACCAGCAACAGATAAACGTGCCCATAATTACGCCCAGCGTTTTGGCTGCGCGTTGCTCTTGCGAAAAACGTTTCAATCGCTTTTTCAAGTTAAACGAACGTTTTTTCCGATCCGATTGGGCGGATGCGTTCTCATCCGGATCATGCAAGTCCCCCAAATGTTCATTCTGTCCGTTGGTATGATTGAAACGAGCAGTAAACGCGAAACCGCAACAAACACATTTACGACAGGGTGGACAGCATCGATCAGCAACCGAGAAACGGTTTAAGGCTACCGGATTCCGGGCAAATCTCACATGACGTTCCTCATCTGGCCTACGACTCGTACGCTCCAACGCTTCATTCATTTCTATCGGATGTACGTTCAAGGGTACCACCGGTGAAGATGCCTCGCTGTCACATGGGGAATGACTGGCCAGACCGAATTGTTCATTCATATATATTGTGTCCGAGGGAGCTCCGGCAGCAGAAAGCTGACAAGGTGATGGATGATTTTTATTGCTACCCCCTCTGTGCACACGTAGCACTAGGCGTTCCCCGTCAACCGAACCGTCTACAACTGCGGTTCCCCGTGTTAATCCTTGCATTACTCTGGTTGCGGTACGATAGATTTTCCAGTACACAAATACCATAACAATTAGGGGGATGTGGAACGACACACAAGATGATAGAAACAGGTATAGCTGATCCACAGGGAACGTGCACTCTGTGATTAGAGTGCCGTTCAGGGGGTTGGGCTGAAGAACACTTTGATAGTTTGCGCTAGAATTGCGCCACCAAACGATGGCCGGAAAGGAAATCAGTGCTGAACAGATCCATGCTATGGCGATCATAATGAGAGCACGGGAATGCGTCATTCGTGTGTGATAGTTGAATGGGTCCGAGATGGCGATATATCGTTCCACAGATATGATACACAAATTCAGAATGGACGCTGTCGAACTCAGAACATCGAATGCGTGCCACAAATCACACCAATCCTGGCCGTATGGCCAAGCCACATAGCTGTTCCGTTGTTCTTCTGTCAAGTAGTTCATTTCTGCCGAATTATGATACTCGATGATAGCGAACGGCATGACCACTGTGCCCAATAACAGATCTGCAGCAGCCAAAGATGCAATGAAACAATTGGTCACATTCTGACGAAGTTTTGTTTTCACAAATATGGCAAACATAACAAGAAAGTTCCCGGCTATTGTGAGAACAGTTAACATGCTCAGAACACAAACGATTGCAATCTCCGTGAAGCTTAAATTGTTCCTAAATGTCATGATGCAGCTGTTTTTTTAATCCTTGCTGTTGTTCCAACAACGTTACTTCTTTCTTCGAATATTCATGTCGCTAGTATAATTTCCGCCACCTTGACTAAGCAGAATAAGCATCAATTCCATTTTCCGGTAATCATTTACCAGTTATTCCAACCACCGATGCGATAGATACGTGATTGGTTATGTACGCTGACCAATCAGCGCCTAGATGTCTATGTTTAATACTATCGGATGACGCGAATGGTTACAGTTGGGAAAGGAACAAATTCTGGCATCACAAGACAAAATAATCAGTCAATGGCATTTTTAGGAAAGTAATATGTATTTAGATCTGGCTTCGGTGAAAATAAATTTAATTAGATAATTGCGGAACAAATCACATTATCTTGAACATTAATTGAACAATATTTCTCAAGTTTCTGTGAAAGAAGAACCACTAAAGTGTTTTATTTCAACGGACGTTTTGATTAGTACAAATTGTTTGAAAGAACAATGCGTCAGACAGTGACAGGTTAAATGAGATACATCAAATCTACCATCAATTTTATCAAAACATCTGTACCCTGACAAACGGCGTTAATTAGACTATACTGTTTACAAAAATATTTTATAATTCTACCGCTGAATATGTTTACGGTAAATAAATAATTTTCTGTTCCTGCAACTCACTAACTACTGTTGGCAAATTCCTTAGTTATTAACTTTTTTTCAAATTATTCTGTGAGTGCTTTGATCGCCTAAGGTTCGAACGTGAAAACGGCGCGCTTCATACGGATTTAGTCCAGTTTGATGCTCATAGGCGAGATATAATCGAATCAATCACCAGAAAGATAATTGAGAGGACTGCATAACATGAACCAAATCCGACGCGATCCGAAAATATTTCATTTTTTGACTTTTTCCGAATTTCTCGACACAAACCAATACGATGGAGACTTGATTGTGAGTCCGCAAACCATCTTTGTCACTGGAGAATAGTTCTTCAGATGTGGCATTCGGAAACAATAGACCAAAGTGATATGAAGTGAAAACTTCATTCATACTGGCAAGGGTACTCCTAGCGTTTTGCTAATATAAATTCGAATGAATTTCCATATTTGGTCTTCCTTTTGGAAGTTCCAAGGCAACCACTATATGCGGATGTTGATAATCACAACGGTTGCGTCTCAGGTTTTATTTTATTTACATTACATTCGACACTTATTTGCTTACTACATTTACTGGAGTTGTCTGCATTAAACGTGCAAAGGCATCCATATATCGAGGGTAAGCGAATCCTGGAAGTGAAATCTTGGTCACAGTAGTTGGGAATCGTATACGTTCAAATTGAAGATGATTTCATAGGAAAAAAATTAAGTTGGACAATAATTACAAGTCGATCGTCTTCACTGAATATCAGTCAGGCACATTCAGCTTCTGCTTAGGGAATAGAAGGCATTGAAAGATACCACTGATGTCCTGATCGTTGGTTTCTCACTCGACTCATTGTTGTCAGTGTTCAATATTGAAACTGGGGAAAGCAAGAGTACCTCCGAGGAAGGTAGCAACAACTCAGGATCGATTGGAGACAAGAAATGTTATAATCCGTTGGATTTCAAACGAACAACCGATTAAAAAATTCACTATTTCGATGTTATAAACAGTGGTTATAAAACTAAAGTTGACTGAATTTTCATTATATAAATTCTATTCAGGTTTACTTTCAGCGGGTTTTCTAATTTGCAAATTGATTGTAACCTTGAAAATCAGCTGCACGTATGCGTACTGTTTTTTTAAGGCAAAACGCGAATTCGACCGAAACACATGCTCTGTCGTCAGCACGTGGGCGCGGAGCCTGTTCACACACACACACAAATGAGGATATCGGAGGGAGGGAGAGAGAGATAAAACGAGATTGGCAATCTACTTAGCTCTTCCCCCGGGTGCGGATGCAGGAATCACTACGGGAAGTGCATTAGGGCTATTTACAACCGGTATCCAAAAATTAGATTGACAAATGCTTCAAGGAAATCGAGTTCCCGTGCAAAGTCAATACTAATGTACCTATTAAATACGCAGTCTGCTGAACGGTGAATGAAAACGTGATTCGGGGACCTCAAAGGCAAGATGGGTACACTCGTTTCTTTAACCAATCTGCTAATCACATTACAGCCATTGAGATGACTCTTGATATGCGGAATTCGGCGTTGTTTATCTTGTTTTATTTGTTCGTCCAATCTGCACAAAGCCCTCTGAGGCACAAACCTTTATCTCAATACAGAAAGAAGTCAAATGTTGCAAGGGATGTTACCGTTTCGTTCCACTCAGCCGAATCGCTGACTCAAAACGAATAGGACAAATAAAGGTGATTATATATTTCTACAAGAAACGTTCTCTTTGATATTCCTCTGGAATTCTCGAGAGAAATAACTCATTCGTATATATATATATATATTGAGGTTGAAGGAATTACATACAAACATATTGATGGCTTGGCAATGGACAGTCCATTGGGTCCCATTTTAACAGATTTTTTTCTGGGACTAATTGAGAAAAAACTAAGAAATAATATTTCCAAGTTTATCCTGTACAAACTTTATGTGAAAGATAATTGTACTCTTACAGATGAGGAAAACTTTAAAACACTTTTCCAACATTTTAAATCAGTCAATCCTCACCTCTGTGAATCTCATGAAGTAGAAACCAACAACAATCTAGAAGTTCCAGAAATTCAACTTACTTGGCAAATAGATGGGATCCTACAATGCTTAGTTTAACGAAAAAGGATATGGAATGGTCAATACCTTCACTTTTTCAGCTTTTCCCCATGGCTTACACGCATGGGCTTGTGAGGACTGTATTTCAACAGGTGAGAAGCGTTTGTTATCCAGATGGGCGGTGGTGGCCAAATGGTTAGGTCAACAACTTATGGCCCGGTAGTCCCGGGTTCGAGCAGCTCCACCGCCGCCCGTCTTCCTTACATCTGTATTATCCTCGGGCAGCCTTTGTACGACCACAGCCCCCTTCCTGAAAGTTAACTGTTCATTTATGTGTTCAATAAATAAAAAAGGAAGTAAAAATACATTTGTTATACACTAAAGGAAAAAGAGAATCTCATGATGGGAGTATTGTTAAAGAATGGCTACCCAGAAAGTTTCACAGGCATAAGATCACAAATAAGACCATTCGCCTAAATTAATCCAACTGGAAAAAGTTAGAAAAGACCATCTGCGTAAAGATTGCTTACAAGGTAACCAGGCTTACAATGATGTGCGCCATGATTTGAAATCAGCTCTATACCGCACATTCCAAGCTGCTCAACTCAATCGGCTTACAGTGGAGTTGATTTTCTACTTCTGTAATCAATAATCTGCTTATGTTTTTACACGTTCGTTCATCATAACTAAAGAACCGTGTATGTTATATATGTGCCTATTTATTTAAATTCAGCGCTAGAGAAGGCTTAAACGAAAAGTTAACACTGCACAAGTTCTTTCTGTANGAATAAAGAGGACTCAATGCTTGAAAATTTTAAATCTTTAGCGGCAAACAACAATTGTATCCATTAGTGTATTTTTCTTACCACAAGCTATTTTGAATTGTCCGGTGAATCTCCCGCTAATGCTCCACTTCACAATACATTTGAACTGACTTTATTGTCATGCGTTAAAGACTGTGTAGGTTCGGGGCACCTGTAATGATTGTAATAATGGTTGTAGTAATATAGAATGAACTCGGAATACGAACCACTTAAAACGGACAAAGCAATACGAATCAAAGATTAGCAATCAAAGACTGGATCACGTAAGCACTGGACCGCACTGGCACAAAACACGCAATATCCACGTAAGTGAGATGAGAGGAAAAAGGCCTCAGGATTGGAAGTTCGTTTATTGGAAGAAATGAAGTGGGTTAACTAAAATGCACAAAGCAGGCTCCTTGGTTGTCAGGGCTTCTACCAATTGCGTTCCATTATTCATGGCATCGTTCTACTTCTGTTTGGGCCGCACGGTCTCTGATTGGCTGGTCCGATTTAGGAAGTCAGAAACNCGTGAGGTGTGATTGATCGCAGTTATCCAAAAACTATAACACGTCACTCCGGAGTACGCGTCATCTCGTAGGTCGGGATCACCACAGGACCCCTTTTCAATTTACAGATACCAAGAAGATAAAATTAGCTGCAAACTACCTTTCCATATATATCTTAGAACCGAATTCTAGTTTTAAAATAAGATGAAAATGTTTGTGATGACCGATAATGAGCATTGGACAACTATTTTGCTCCGCTTTTAGGACTCGTCAGCAATGCGCGAACTTATTGTGTCCCTGTCAGGACTCGAACCGCGAAACCTTCGGGTTGGGACTTCAAACCCCTACTCCCGAGCTACACGGTCAAGAACGTTAAGGAATGGCTCAATCAACTTAGAGTATCAAGCATGGATTTGCCCTTTTGATTGTCCAGAGGAACTAGGCACTCTTGATGGTCTCGAGTGTGTGGGTTTCACTTATTGGGATATCGTTAATTCCCCACGAGGTAAACGCATTCAAATGCGATGGAAATGTTTATGATGACCGAAAAGATCGTCAAGAATGCTTGGTTTCTTCTGAACAGTCAAGTGAGCTAATCTAAGCTTTATACCCAGAATTGTAGTTTTGCTCACATGAACGCTCAAACAATACGGATCGATAGTTGTAAAATGGTTAGGAAATTTCGGCCTTTCATGAGAAGAACGAAATCACTCTGGAGCTTCAAAATACATAGATCACTTTATTCGATCAATATTAGGAGTTATATCAGAAAAGAAGAACCAAAGGAACCAGGCAATAATGTAATCCGAGATTCAACCATACTACATTTGAAGATTAAACGAAAATTCGCTATTGTTCAGTGACTCAAAGCAATCAGCTGCAGCAGCGCTACAGAAAACAAGCCAAACTCCTGTTGTCCTCGCATCGTCATTGAGCGTCTTGATCGGCTGAAACTCGCTCTTTCCCCTGTATCTTCATGCTGTATCACAAGCTTT